AACCTAAACTCTTCCGATTTGGACTTGTGAGGTATCATTGGAAAGGTATTTTCTCACCCTTTTTATTTCTTTGCTAATAAACTCATTCAGAGGATGAAAGAGTGAGGTAGGAAGAACGAACGTCATTCAAAGTTGAATTAAGATGTGTTGGTATTTGAAAAAAAATTTGAGACATGAATTTACTCGTGTAAAGTTAGCAAGCGTTTTTTGTTAAAGTTACTTTTTAATCAGAGTTCCTGATAGCAAAGCAATAGTTCTACAGTTCCATAATCAAATTTTCAATAGTTCTGTTAATTAAAGCCAAAAAAACAAAAATCGCTTGCCAACTTCACGCAGCAAGCCTATTTCAGCAAAAACAGTTCTGATACCATCAACTTACGAGAAATAAAGAGTTCTGCAGTTCCCTAATAGTCCCGAAAAAAGTTCCGCGAAATTTTGAAAAACAAAAACAAAAAAATGTTTACACTAAATTTTTTTATTTTTTTTTTTAAATACTTTTTAATCAGAGTTCCTGGCAGCAAAGCAATAGTTCTACAGTTCCCTAACCAAATTTTCAAAAGTTTTGTTAATTTAACCCAAAAAAGCTAAACAACAAAAATCGCTTGCTAACTTCACGCGCAAGCCTTTATTCAGCAAAAGCAGTTCTGATACGACCAACTAACAAGAAATAAAGAGTTCTACAGTTCCTTAATAGTTCCGAAAAAAGTTCCGCGAAATCCAGAAAAAAAAATTTTTACATAAATTTTTTTTTTTTTGTAATTACTTTTTAATCAAAGTTCCTACAAAACTGGATACTCAAAATCTTCCTAAGGGCCGTTTTCTCAAGTAGTTCTAAAAATTTATCTGCCCTTTAAAACCAAATTTTCTTATCAAAAAATGTGTTCGAAGGGCACATAAATTCTAAAACGTACTTGCTCGTAATTTCTACCAGTTAATTTTTTTTTTAGCATTGCTCAATGGTTGAACCTTTGATTTCTATTGTTTCTGCTAAAGAATGGACTATATTTTTATAAAAAAATAACGAAATTTAAATAAAGAAAAAATTGTGAAAACTTCTCACTATGTGAGGTTGGTGTAATTTTTTCGACCACTGTATTATAATGTACGTATGGCAATGCCATCTTATAGGTAAAGAGTTTTAAGCACAAGCCAATCAGGTGATCGCTTCTATTATATATACAGTGACGAGCAAAACTGTAACATGGAGTAACACTTTTTA